GAGACTGGGTTCTGTTGCGGTGTGTAGGGTGCGCTCAGGTAGGATGTCGTGCCGTTTTTCTCAAGAAGTGTTCGAAAATCTTTTGACCTATACCCGCCTCCTTGGTCGTTGACCAAACTCACAATTTTCTTATTGTGAAAGGTTTCAACTAGTGATTTGTATTGCAGGAAACAAGACATTGTGTCGGACTTAGACTTCATGATAAAAACGTGTTTATAATTTGTACATGCGTCCGTGAGCTTAAAATAATAAAGGCCTCCTCCAACAGAAGGTACAGATATTTTACTGCTCAGATCACTATGAATGACATCTAATGGGAGATTCGAAGAAGGAAAACAGCCGGAATACGGAAGACAATGGCCCTTTGAGAGCTTACAGGTTTCACAGTGCCAGGCTTCAGGTGCGGAGACATTGTACATCATCTTAAGGCGAGGGGATTCGGGATGACCTCCCTGTCTGTGAAGTGTATCATAGTCAGAAATGCTGATGTTGACACGTGGAGGATCAGTGAGGGATGACGAGCCTAGAGTAATGTCGAGCTCGATTACACCGTTGCGAACGTGACCCACAAAACCTCCGACGCCATGTTTGACCATCAGAATGTTGTCGACAACGTTTTCAATGCGATAGCCATCCATAATGAGAGCGCCCATGCTTATTAGACAGCATCCCAAGTCGGGGACATGAAGTGCGTTGAGAACAACTTCATCATTGGCGGAGTTACACATTATGGTGCCCTTGCCAGCAATGCGGATGTTGGTGCCATTAGCCAGAGTTACGTTAGAAGAAACTGGCTGGTAGTTGTCGAACAGATCGCGATCCGGAGCCATGTGATGTGAACAGCCGCTATCCAATAGGATGGATTCGTGATCGGATGAGGTCACGACAAATGCTTGAGATTCAAAGAATGAGTTGTCGGTGGTGACAACCGCAGTTTTGGGTTGTGTAGGACGTAGGTTGGGGTTAACTTGGAAGCACTGTTGTAAGGTATGACCTTTAGCTTCTGGGTTATGTCAGCCGTTGGAACAAAATGGGCGTGGTGGTCGTCCAAACGTCAAGGGACGTTGAGTTGCTGATCGTTGGAGTGATCGTGGTGGTCTGACTGCTAGAGCAACGGTGCTCTCGTGAAGTTCTTTGTACCTCATGGTGATGAGTTGGGATTCAAGGTACGTGATGACTTTATCGGCAGTCAACGGTCGATCCTTGCGTAGGAGGGTCTTCGTGATGTCCGTGGAGGACGGGAGATTACTGACTATGGTCTCGCCAATGAACTTGTCGTGAATGTGTTTCAGACCGTCCACCGCAAGAAGTCCTGCTATTGCATGTTGATTATCGGTGATGTAAGTTTCGAGATCCGTAAAGACAATGTCAGTCCATTTTAAGTAAGCTCGAGCTTGGTTCTCGTCAGACGACGATTGAAAGTGTTCTTTCAATAACATCCATATCTTGATTGGATCAGATACGGCTTCCTTGGCCACAACTCGCATACGATTGTCTTGGTCGATGCAGCCGTATAGGATACCGGCGGTGTGGTAATCAAAAGTATTCAAGAGACAAATACACAATTCATTTTTAGTTTTATTTTTTTTATTTTATTATTTTATCATTTTATTTTATCATATTTCATTTTATTTTTATATGTTACATGTTGAATTTTGAGTGTAATGGTTATGTGTAGGGAGTGTAGTGTAAAATGAAGCCAAAAGTCGAAATTATGGGTTTAGAACTTATGTGTAGTTGGGTGGTTTATGGGTTATGTAGAGTATACAGGTCTGAAGTTGGAATTTCGAAAATTATGGGTTTTAATAGTTATGTTTAAAGATATGTATGGGTTTAACGTGTTGTGTAGAGGAATCATGGTTTTGAGGTATGGGTTTAAATAAGGCTGAATTTCGAAAATCCAACAACTCAGACAGATGGTGGTAAACTGGGGTAGTGGTAAACTGGGGTGGTAAACTAAAAAAGCAAGCAGGGATCACTTTGAAAGATGGATTCATGGGATTATCAAACAACAGCATTGGTAAATTAAACATTACATATGAAAAGGGTGGTTTTGAAACTCAAAAATGACTTTCAAAATCATAAAAAGTGCTATTTTCAATCATATAACTTTGATTTTAGGGTACCACAGCATCTTATCAGCCTAGAAATAAGTTGGGGAGGGTTATATTTTTGCATAGGAACATGAAAAATCAATTATAAACCATATACATCATCATCAGTGGTAATATCAGGTGGTAAACTGGGTAAATTCAATTTCGAGTATTTTCACATAAAATCGAATTTCATTTTAAGGGTACAACCAATAGAGTTAGAGTTTAGCTTGGCTGAGCAAAGTTGTAGAGCGGAAGCAGACCTTTCTTTCTGTCTATTCAGATTTTTGAGACAGTCCCTATTTCTTATCTTTTTTCAGGTTTCAAGGGTGAATTGGCGGATTTTTCAGTTTTTGTGGTAAACAGCTAAGTTATAGTGCTGCTTGTGAGCTTGAAAGTTTGTAGATTGTCAATGTGTGTGCGCTGAATCTGTCTATCCACTTTATTTTGGGGTTTCATTGAGAGTGTTGCTGTGAAAAAGCTGTATGAAGGTGAATTTCGAGTTTGAGGGGGGTTTTTGTCTTATCTTCTTTTTTGTGTGTGTTTCAATTTTGATATAGTGAAGTGTCTTTTTCCCACCTTTTTTTCCCCTTTTAGTTAGCAAAAATAATTACTAGATTTTTAGAATAAGCTTTTATCTTTTATTATTATCATTCAGGTAAACAACTAATGAGAGTTGGAATTTTATAATAATAAGACCCTTATTCATCTTTTAATTAATTTCTTGTTGAGTTGTAAGCTCATTTGCTCATTTGGAAGGTGCCTGAGTGCGCCTAGATTGTGCTATTTTTGAAGTTATTGTCCTCTTTTAGCCTGGTTTTTATTAATCCAAAGACTTGAAGGTCTTAAATTTAATTCATCAGTAATCAAAGTCCCTGTTTAAGAAGGGCAATTCTTTCTTTGTTTGAAGTCTTTCAATTCACCATCTCAAGACTTATTCTTCTTTTGATTGTGTGTGTTGTTGTTTGTGTCTTCATTCATCCCCTTCTTGGCTCTGCTTTCAGCTGTGTACTGAAAGAGTTCTACAGCGGCCTTCTTTTTCTTGGTCAAGAATACGGCAATTTGGACAGATGCATCTGTATCGAGAGTTTTGACAGGAGGAACTGGTGGAGGGTCAATGTTAATGAACTCTTCCAGATTGCATGTCATCAAATGGGTGGTGACATCTGCTGCCCACTTGACATAATTGGTTTTGGCGAGTTTTGGGAAATGAATGCGAGATGAGTTCGAAGAGTCGGTCATTTCGCAAGGATTCAAAAAAAAAAATTTTTGGAAGATTTGCGACTATTGGAGCGCTGGGCTCATAACCAAATAACTGAGGTAATCGAAGTTATTTCTTTCCCTGATAAGGATTAAGATCAAACTCAGTCTTATGAAGTAAGACTTTGGTTGATCGAAAGAAAACAACTTTACCTGATAAGGATTAAGATCAAACTCAGTCTTATGAAGTAAGACTTTGGTTGATCGAAAGAAAACAACTTTCTGAAAAAGGAAGTTGTGACGCAGAAAGAAAACTTGAGTTTGATTAACATATGAGAACACAATATAACTAAATAGTAACTAACACCTGATAAGGATTAAGATCAAACTCAGTCTTATGAAGTAAGACTTTGGTTGATCGAAAGAAAACAATTATATAGATAGACTACTCTATATATCATTCTATAGAACTCAACAATGTGTCATGGTGTAAGAAGAGAAACGCGTTACATAATGCACATGATAATGAAAATGAATCTTTAATGGTAATGCGCTTTATGGGATCACTTTGTGATCCTAATTTTAATTCCCACGGTGTATAACTGACCAAATAGTAAGACATGTGGCTGACGACATCTTTGGTAGGATCAAACTGATACCTGAGGAGGACATGTGCAATACTGATCATATCAAAGCCTGAACATATGGAATGGGAACAAGGTGTTTTCTCTCTGTGAGTGAAGTGGCTTCGAATGCACTATAAAAATGTCAGGATGTGGAACTGTAGAAATGATTGCCAAGCGCTCTGGATATCAAGCTTTAATGATTATGCGTCGTTGACGCTCAAAATCGCTCAACACCAGTGGGTATACGGAGTTTTGGCAAAAATACATGTTACTAGATGGAGGATTTGTACGATTTACACGAAAATATGGATTGCTGAGGAACAGTCCTTTACTCGACAGAAAAGTTGTACGTACAAAAGGTGTTGAATCACGATGTAACGGCCAATTGTTGTTTTTGACATCTTTTTGCAAGACCTGAGTGACATAGAAGAGAACCAAGGGGTCTTTTATCGGCACGTGAACTTTTTAACAGGCCTCTTTATGCATATTAGCTCCACATCCATTGTGCTGACACATGTAGACTCGGCTTCGTTGAACCGGATTGCGGACACATCAAGGGACTCTCAAGTACGTGATGATGTGCTTTTATTTCCTCATAGAAATGAAATATTGGGTTTATGCGAGGGATCTTGTGTTTTTATAGCTGCTTCCCACCAAAGACACGACGTGTTAAGTCACTTCTATCGTTTCTAGGAGGGTAAGAACAACTAGGTGCACATGTAGCATTACATACACGACCGGGTTGGGTGAGCCAAAGATACAGGAAGAGGAATGGAATTTTTTCTCCTCTTACCAAGCATCTTCCTCCTGCACCTAGTAGTCGTAGCAGAGCGTCAAGCTCTTCAAGTGTTAAACATTATTCTATCTTTTAATTTTTAGCGTAGACCATTCAATCTTATAGCAGAAGATATAAATCCAACTAGACAAGAATATAACACCAACGACTGATAAACCTTAAACCAAGAAACCTTAAATAAGAAACCTTGTCTCTAGTCCACCACTCATTTCTTCCCTCCACAATCCCAAATCAACCTGAATCCATTAATCATCTAATAATTCCCAACAAAACGAGAAACGAATAATGGACAGCGAACAATTCCACCAGCAAATCGATGATTCACTCAGGAACAACACAGAAGAAGGAAAAGGGAAAGAAGTTGAAAGTCGTGAAGAGACAACTAACGTAGGAGAAGGTGTAGAAGAGGGAGGTACAGGAGTTAGAGAAGATGAACAACCGGCCGACATTCAATTGCAAGGATTGAGCGGCCAAGAGAACGCACCTCCGGAACCAGAAGATCCCCCTGTGACGACAAGACAGTCCAAGAGGAAGAAAGCTCCACCAAAACCCTTCCCACCACCAACTGTCAGTAAGGCCAAGGTGATCGGTCCGATACGAATCAAGAGGTTGAAACAAGCCAGCAAAGACGAAGTAGAAGGGGCACCTAGTAGTCAGAAAGCCAAGAAGAACTCAACCCCCCAACAACAACAGACAACTGATCCGACAATTGACAAACCCATTGTCAGACAAACTCGGCAACCCGCGAAGAAAATTGTCCAAGAGGCCGACATCATTGACGAAGCCCAAACGGAAGACGAAGAAACCGGAAGTGAAGACGAAGCAAGAACTGGTCGGCAAGAAGGTCAGCTATGGCAAGACACGAACCCAGATGATGGCCGTCCTCAAATGAGAACGGTGGGGGGTATTGCACTTGGTGACATCAAAGATGGTTAGTTACAAACATACCTTGTTTCGTATAGCTTTAGCATACCACACCCCCCCCCATTCCCAAGATGAGCCAGACTCTCAATCCAAACCCCCCCCAAGATGAGCTAGACTCTCAAAAGAACAGGGAACCCCCCCAAAAAATCCTTCCCCAAGGGAAATGCCTCCGAAGGAGATGAAAATAAACCCAATAGCCGAGAGCTTACAACTAGGGAAAGGAAGACACTTGTCAAAACTCCATCCAAAAAAAAAAAAAAAAAAAGAAAGAACGAAGAGAGAATAGAATGGTTGACTAACCGAATGGTACCATCGTCCTCAAACAGAACCTGTCAGAAACGCCCAAACTGAAGTCGAACACCGAACCACAGACAGCGTCGCAGAACGTCTAGATGAAGAGATCGACAGAGCCTTCATGAATCACGACCGCACAGCCTACGGCCGTTCGACAGAACAGAAAAGAGCTTGGTTAGCGTTCCAGTCTAAGGAGAAAGAGCCAGCCTCCGTCGCTACCGAAAAGAACCCCAAATCGACGGAGAGGAAAATAATGAAAGTCCAAAGAGGAGAGATAATCTCCAATCATCTCAATGCGCTCTCACCTTATTGGGACGCTGCAATGAAGGACTTTAGCCGATACATTCCCCTTTCCATCTTTGACCCGGCTTGGCTGAGACAAGATATCACCTTTGTTTCAAACAAAACCTCTCGCGCGAAAACCAAAGACGCAGACTCCAACACGTACAATGGATCTCCGATACCTAGTGAATGGAGGACAACAGTTGCCCAATGGCACCGTCAGAAGGATCTCTTTCTGCAATACCTCGAGAGATACAAACAAACCAAGGTCTTACCAGTGATGAAAGAACATTTTGAGAACGTGATTGAAATCCAAAATGAAAATGATGGTTGCTGGGTGGTAGCTTTCCGATACAACCTGATGATGCGCCAGACTTATATGGTTTTCAAAGTCGGGGAAGAAGGAACCGAAATGGCGGACATTGGTGTGAGAAACCCAAGAATCCAACGGCTAGCAGAACGCGACACGATCAGATACAACGACAACATGTTCCTGGATAACCCCTACGCGTTAACCGGATCTAAATCCTTCATTGACCCGCTAGATGGGTCCAATTGGGCCGGTAGACCAACCAAGTGGGACGATCCAAGCCAAACCGATTCCAAAGAAGACAGGCTGGACCAAGTGAGGTCAAATCAATCGACCAGGTCAGCAATCTGGTCCCAATCCAGGTATGAACCGCATGAGAACCCACACGCCCAACATGCCACCCCGCAAGCATACTTCCACTATAGCCAACCTTTGATGAACAATCAGCACCCCTACCCCCAACCATCCGGTGTAGAACTTATAACCCAACAAGGGTTATACAGAGCTGGAAGAGGATAATCTACTAATAAAATGACTAGTAGAAGTTGTCTAAGGACTGCTCTTCTAAAACAACACAATCAGAAAGAGCTCTGTGGTATTGAGTACTGATAAGGCACCAGAGAAATATAACTTCACACGTAATTTTAACTTCAAAAGCACACTTTGTATTACTATCAACACTGCTATAGTGTTATTCCCAATTGATAACTGAAAAAAAAATAAGCAATATCTGATTGATATTATTCCCAATAAGTCTTTATGACTATAAAACTAAAGTAAATTTCTCTTTATAACTGTAATAAAGGGCGTATTTAAGTGAACAGGTACTATTAAAATAAGTTTATGATGATAAACAAAATAATAATGGCGTAAATGATAAAGAAAAAAAAAGGGGAACAACAGTCCCAAAACCCTCTCAAAGTATATATAACAATGTACTAGAACTTTTACAATGGTCAACAGCCTCAAAACCAATCAAATCCGCCCAAAATTCCCTAAAAACCCTATGATGACGCAATGTAATGGTTTTGTTACTAATAAATGATGTAATTTTCACAGCTAAAAGTGATCAATGACGCAATAATATGATGTACAGCACTTCTTATGATGAATACAGGTGAATTTTTCCTTGTAAACTAGCTGAAAACCAATTTTTGAGATTACGAATTTTTTCAGATGTGCTCCAATTTTTGATTACTAAAGTGCATCTTGTAGCCCACGTGTTACTGATCATTTCTGACACCTACATGACCTACTTCTGATGAGTGATGAGTAAGATATTGAGTTGTGAAGTTAAGGTTTTTAGTGTTACATATGACTTGTGACTGTAAATTCGAGATTCACACCAATTCTTTATTTGCCTTATAACTTTTTACACACACCTCCGTTACTAATGATTTAAAGTTTGTACATTATGTAATCCACTCTTCTGCGTTGAATGAGCCATCTACCAACCTATTCTGACGTCATTTGACATATGTAATTAGCTGAAAACCTCTATTTTCCACGAATTTCACCCATTTTCTTCACTTTTCACAGCTACTACTATCTTTTTCTTGCTCATGTAATATGACATCATCATCTATAGCCTTAAAAATCCCGGAAAATCCTCTTGGCAACCTTAAATTCCATCACTACCACTATTACACAACCAAACTACACGTGTACCTCTTGTTTACCAACTTCGAAAAAGTGCTTTTTTCCTAATAACTTCTGTTTCTACTTATCAACCTTGAAGATGAAAATTGTCATAGTATCATATAATGTTGTTCTTTCATATTCTCACCTCATAATACCCATAACTTTATTTTTACTAACCTAAAAACCATTTTCCAACCTTTATACCTATAATTTCGAATTTTTCTTATGTTTTTCTTTCTTTCTTTTTGTAATAAATTTGTAAGTAAACTATAATGATCTTAATATATAATGTGAAATAAAATGATGTAATGTTTACCTAATGACCAATACATAAGCCTACAAGAGCTTCAATTGATCAAAAACCTCCATTTCGAATTTTCTTTCCTGCTGAATCCTGCTAATAAAGTGGTAAACTGGTAATTGTGAATTTTTTAATTGATCCCATAAATTGATCACCACACCGGGAACGAAGGTATCCGACTCAACCCCAACTTCAAAGGGAAACGAGAGAACTTCATTCCCAATTACCGGAAAGACAACAATAGAGGAGGGAGAGGGGGAGGAAACAGACAAGGAGGAGCAAGTGGAGGCGGGAACTGGGGAAGGCAACAAGGGGAAGGAGAGAACGGTAGTCAGGCCAACCCCAGCCAGCAGGGTAGTAGAGCGAATGCAACAGGTGAAACGGCCCAAAAGAAGTGAGTATCGAACTTAACTTAACTGAGACCTATAGATAGTACAATCATATGCGCGCAATGAACCCAAACCCTCCCACTCTTGAGGAATACACCCCAATGCCCCGAAGTGAGAGCTGAGACAGAGCACTGACATTCTCCAAAAACCTTTACCATGTGAGTCGGCTGAACAACATAGAGATAGTCGAGACACACACACGTGAGCAACCTGAAATGGCCCCCAGACCTCGCTCCCGAGAAAGACGCCTAGAAGAACCAGAGGGAAGATGGCCGTCGAAAGCAGAGTGCGAGCTAAACATTGAAGAGTGGGAGCTGCTAATGACCGAGTTGGACCTGGTAGAGGAATGGGGAGACGTCCTCGTAAGCCTACAAGAAGGCTTCGACCAAGGCATCCCCGAGCACACAATTGAGGGACTACCTTGGTTCACACCACCAAACCAAACGTCAGCCTTGCTAGTGAAGGACAAGATTGAGAAGACGATAGAAAAGGAGAAGAAAGAAGGGAAACTATACGGACCCTTCACACATCGAGAAGTACATGAGCACTTCGGCTTCTTCCGATCTAACCCCATGGGGAGCGTCACGAACAACGATGGAACATTCCGAATGATCAATAACCTATCATTCCCAAAGAACGGAGAGATACCGGTAAGAAAAAAAAAAAGGAAAGAAAAGACAAGAACTGACATTGATGTGTCCAACAGTCCGTAAATTCCTTTGTAGACAAGAATGAATTTGTCACCACGTGGGATGACTTCAAGATTCTGGCGGACTTCCTGAGGAAGTCAGATAGAAAGTGGCAGTTAGCTTTGTTCGACTGGCTAAAGGCCTATAGACAGATACCAACGCACCCATCGCAGTGGAAGTACTTACTGATACTAGACTTCTATAACCGACTATGGGTCGACACACGAGTGGGCTTTGGGGGTGTAGCAGGGTGTGGCACCTTCGGACGCGCAGCTGATGTGTGGAAAGAGATAATGCAGAAAGCCCTTGGCATCCCTCGAATCTTCAGGTGGGTAGACAATAACCTGATCCTACGGGAAGAAGGATTGGACATCAAAATGGAGTCAATTTTACACCTAAGCGCAGGCATGGGAGTAAAGTCAAATCATACCAAATATGCCGACTTCGCCGATGAACAAAAGTACCTCGGATTCATTTGGAACGGCCAAGAGAAGACGGTACGACTACCGCTAGATAAACTCGAAACAAGGATTCAACAGGTCAGAGCTCTACTCAGTGGGGAGAAGTGGAAGAAAAAGCCAGTCGAGAAATTGGTAGGACAGCTGTGTCACATCACTTACATCATGCCAGACATGAAATGTTATATGAGAGAACTCCACAGCTGGAAAGGCGCATGGAGGAACGGTGAAGCACGACGAGGCATCCCAGACGCAGTGAGAGACGACCTTGAAGAAGGGCTCGAAGTCCTTACAAACTTCGACCACATGCGAATTATCCCCAATCTAGAACCCAAAGACATCAAATGGGTGGGCGATGCTTTGACATTGTACGGCATCGGCGTGCTCATAGGTAGTAACTGGGTGAGGTTCAAATTACGACCAGGTTGGGATGCTGAGAACGATGACGGCATCAAACGCAAAATAGTGTGGCTTGAAACGGTGGCGGTCAGACTCGGCCTGCTAGTCTTGATGAAACTGAAAGATACCAAGGGGAGATGTTTCATAGTCTGGACCGACAATACGACTACGGAGGCAGCGATTCGAAACACTCGATCAAAAGACCAAACAGTGAACAACAAGTGGAAACGAATTCAGAAGTTACTTACGAACCACCAGTGCACAATAAAACAAGAGCGAGTCTCCTCCGGCAATAACGACGCAGACGCATTATCACGAGGCCTCGAGACCAATCTCCCCTGGCACGACGAGGTGATCATCCAAGTACCTGACGACCTATCCCAATTCCTCAGACAAGAATGAGTTCCGGAAGAGAGACTGGAACGGGGACGCCCGACCTGGGAAAGATCAAGAACTTCCTTGGTGACGAGAATGGAGTAGTGCGACTGGAAGAGAAACCCGTACAACGCTTGATGATCCTGGGTGGCAGTTGGTCGAGGGACACGCTGTATCAGTACAACTCTGCAATTACCAAGTACCTAACCTTCGGAAGAGGGGAGGGGAAGATCAGGAATCAACTCTTACCAGCAGACGCACAGCAAATCCTGGACTTTATTGCTTGGGCAGCACCAAAAGTAGACGGGGAACCAAAGACCAACCACGAGATAAAGCCGTCAACTATCAAAGCCTACCTGTCCGGACTGAAGGCATGGCACCTCTTCCATCATCTCTGATTCCCAGACATTGAAAATAGAGAAATAAACCTAGCGCTGAAGGCAGCAAAACTCCTAGACGCTAGATCGGAAAGCAAACCTCAGAAATCTCCCGTCCAGATAAAACACCTAGCCAGCCTACTGAAGAACCTAGAGAGGGACGATGAAGCCGCCGAATTAGCCGTAACGATAGCGTTAGTAGCTTTCTGGGGGATGGCAAGGATGGGAGAACTTACTTCACTAAAAGAATCAAGAGCAATAAAGATCGAGGACGTCAAGATCTCACCCGACGAACAGATCATGACCATTGCTCTAAGAGAAGCAAAAACGTCCAAACCGGGCGAAATACAATACCTGACGTTGAGAAGACACAAGTCAATTATCGACCCTGTCGCGGCGGTTGAGAGATTACTGAGGAAACACATCACAATGGGCACGTACGCCGACCAATACCTGTTTGTATACGATATCAAAGGAGAACATGGAGGAAATAGATTAGTGAAGGAAGGAGTCATGGCACTGTTGAGGAAAGCATGGAAGAAAGACGGGTACGATGGACTTACGGGTCACTCGTTCCGAGTTGGAGGCGCATTGTTCTTATGGAACGAAGGAGTCCCGCTGAAACAAATCATAAGCAAGGGAAGGTGGAGGTCCAGAGCATATGAGAGGTACCTACGCAAGTTCGATGATGGGGAGATAGAGGAAAATAGAATGTGGTTGAAGAGAATGGAACTCAAAGCGACTTGACTTGAAATAGAATCTTAACGCAACCCAAATACCATCCCGTAAGAACCGTATGAGACACTACCCTGAGATGCGAGTGAGAAAGAAAGAACTACAAATATTTAAAGTTTTCCCACAACTGAATACCAGTTGAATAATACAGGGGAGGGATCTGCAGGCAGTTGCCATACAGAGGGCCTTGTGGCACCCGAGAGAACGGGTCCTAGTGAGCTCGGGGCTCTCCGATGCCCCAAGGCAAGGTAGGCTAGGACAACACTCTCCGGACCCTTTTCAGGCACTTTACGCAGTTTAGAGCAGGGAATCGAACCACGGGCCAGAACTCGTACGACCTCAGAAGTAGGCCCCGAGACGACCCCGGTACGCTTCCCAGCTCGAGACCCCCCCCCACACTATTCTCATCTTAGGACATCCTAGGATAGGATGGCATAAGGCTGAGAAGGAACATATGTAGTTACAACTGGTTAAACTAGATATGTTAAGAAATGAAGAGATTGTTCGCCTAACACTTACCCAGAGAGCAGAGATAGATAGCCGCAATATTCATGATCCAATGGGAGATGAGGGTTTAACAGCAGATATTGTGACGGCAGGTCTCTATGTCGTATATGCCGATTGGTACATAATCAAATGTGAAGTGAATCACTTGGTAAATTTCACTTCCAAATAGATATCATTGGGAAGCGTCGTCATGTTGGTTCTGGTCTCCGGCCAGCACTATAAACGATCGCAGTTTCCTCTTTCAAGTAGGCTGTCACATCTCATGTCCTTAAGAAAATGCTTATATGAGTAACATTAAGTGGATTCTCGATCCGGCAACTGCTGTTGAGATTATACAGATGAGTTAGAGATATCTCTCTAGGATCCCTAGATGAATGTATCACCAATATAGATGGCCCAGACTTTAGGACATTTTTGCGAAGGAAAAAACAGGCTTCAATCTCACAAGCGAGGTGAGTATCATGTATGTATGGCGAGTGATAAATGTAGGGTGTGATTTCGGTCAACAGGATAGAGAAAGATCACGAAACGAGGACAATGAGAACCCGGTGGTAGTCTTTCCGGTCAGAAATAGCCTTCATCCACTCCATCTGGATAACAATACCTTTGAAAACATTGTTTGCAGATATCGGATCGAGGAACCTTGTTAGTTAGTCGATTCCGCGCTCGTTCAAGCATTGCGCAGGATAAACAGGTCGGCCATTCTTGATCAATGGAGCCATCGAGAACTGGTGACGTGGTGACTGAAGTAGCCGATGCAAGGAAAGTGGTAGTCTCCTCGTCTGTATACTATAGAAATGAAGCGAGTAGGAAAGTCAGGACCTGGTTCTGGTTGTGGTTGTGGATTTGCAATGAAGAAAACTCAACTCTCAGTTTCAAAGTTGAAGTGTTGGTAAAAGAACCAGTAGTAGACTGTGAAAATGGACTGTTTGGAAGATAGACAACCAAAGGATAACCTCCGTTGCCGGTACGAGATGGAGAACTGCATCCAAAAAAGGTTGGCCGGGTGGCATAACCTAAGAAGTTTGCGCTATCAGTAAGGCACCCCTACATGCAGAAGCCAGATCCTATCTGACCTTTTTCAAGCCATTCTTGGGGGTTTGTTGGGATAGGTGGAAAACTAGCCGATCCTTTTGGAAGCACGCTGGTTACTCGAGTAAAAGTCGCGATTAATGCAGTTCCATTTGGCCACTGGGAGCCAATGGGTGAGCTGAAGTTGAAGAAGAAAACGACAAAAACATAAGGAAGATAATCTGCAATCACCTGGCCTTGAAGGAAAGACATGAGCTCACCTCGCATCAGTATCTGCAGAGGCATCGGCTGCCAAGATGACGTCGACCCCTCGAGCAAGCAGCGGGTTTATTGGTATATTTTCCCCATTTTGCACTAGGAAATAGGAAATAAATGGTCAGTGACTGTTCATAGATTTATGGATAGCAACTTTTGTTGTGAAAAGAGATTTACCCCCGTCAACCAAGTCAAGCTTATCAGCCTTTGTCTGATCAAAGCCCGCTGGTCCATTAACGCCTTTGAAAGGGTTTGGATATTGTGCGGTATCCACTACACCAAGGTCTGACGTATTGGTCAATCGGCTGCCTAACAACTTGAGAAGAGCAAGTTTGGACATTGGAATTTTTCCTACAATTGACCCGACAATTGACCCAGTGATGGCATCGAATATCTGCGTTAAAAATGTTGGTACACGTCAAAACACCTATCTCTGAAAAATATTTCAAGGTATCAAAGAAAGCTTTGAAAGGGCTCAACTGAAGATGAGGTCCCAATAACAAAGCTTGCTTGGTCGAACCCAATGGTACATGTCCCTTTCAATGGTTTTCCACTGTCAAGGGGGGTACCCAAATATTGAGTAGGGATGTGAGCACTCAGGTAAGGGTCGAAACTTCCGAATTCGTGGACTGTAGTTTCAAATACTGTAGTTGACAGTGGAACTATGTTACCCGGTGTAGGTGTGTCTGATCCCGGGGGAGGTTGTTGATTGCTGACAATGATGGGATACGGATTTTTGAATGCTTGGAAGTCGGGTGAGTCTTTGAGTGCCGAGAAAAGTATACCTGCCCCATTGGCAGTAGGGGAAGAACTATCGTAGAAGTCTGGGGTTTTGGGAAAACAAGTTCGTCAGCACTAGAAGTACATAATCTATTTTGCAATCGTCAGATTGAAGTTCAGACTTTGGAGGCGTACTATTTGTTGTTGTCCCGGGCATAAAGTGATGTGATAATGCACGCGCCCAAACGTCAGTTATAGAAACTTCAAAACCAGCCTTTTTTTTCAACTCAGCATTGGCAAACAATGCGTCCAGATATCTCGCATCATCTATCGCATTGGCTCCACCAGGTAGGAAAAGGTCGCGTGACAATAACCAGCTTGCGACGAGCTGCTTCATCTCGGGATACCCATTCATGGCTGAAGAAATCGTTAGCCACGATCCACCACTCAAAGCAGATTGATACATGGCCAGCTGAGATATACCAGCTAATGGGCTGTCAGATGTGCGCGAATCCCTGTGGAAACAAGACAAGTTAATGTGAATTCCAATTTTGCTTCGCGCGTGATCTGGCCACAAAGTCAGAGAGAATAAGGTAAGCTCACATTGCTTGGAGGACTCCGGCACCATATAAAGCGGCTCGAAGGCCACCGCCTGAATGGGCCAAGGCTAGAGTGGGATATTCAAAAGATTCTTGCTCAAAGATGTAAGAGTAGCCAGTCTGTGATCCTGGCCCAGTGGTATAAAAGGACTGCCATAATGGAGCGGTGAGGGCTTGGCGGCCTTGTCGAAACGCCATTTCTTCATCACACAAAGTCTGATTGGAGGAGCCAGCTGATCCGGCCAGTCGAAGGAGGGTGGTATTTGGAGGACATTGAGTCAGGATGGGTGCATATGAAGCGGCAGTGGCGGTGATCACTTGTGCTCCGGCGAATTTGAATGAAATAGTTAGCAAAAGGACCCAAAGCTCGAGCGACGTGGATTGCATCAAGAACAAGAGTGTACAAGTGAAAGTGAATGAAAAGTGTGTAAGGACGCAGTGACTCTGGAATGTGTGCGATTGGTAAAGAGAAAGCAACACGGGGTACCTCCTGTTGGCAGAGTTTGAATATCAAGAAGAATGTGAGAATTGGTGAAGTTCGAAGTCAATCTGGAATCAATGTTTGTCAATGGACTCGTCGCAAAGGCGCATCATCATTTGGATAAGGTGGTGGGTAGTCATTGTATGACCGCCAGTTCATCTGGGAACCAAGATAGACTTGTTATTTCACCAGGTTGGTCAAGGCAAGGAATTATGAGAACTTGATTGTGTGGTTAGTCGGACAGCGTTTGGCCTGATGTTTTTAGTGGTCCGCCTTCAACCCTCGGATGGCATTTCTACTCAGTGGGTCTGTCTGTTGATTTGACTTACTCAGATTCACAGTCTTCCGAAGGCGGAAAATTCTCAAGGACCAAGTATGTAACAATTGTCTTTGAATTGCCACTGTGTTTTGACTCCTGATTAGCTCGCGCGCCTTGCCATCGCTGATCAACTCATCAGAGGATGAGTTGCACCTTGTTCAACGGCCAGTGCTCAAAAAAGTGGGAATGCAGACCAGTGACTAGGAGTTTTGTATACTCCATCGGGCGCTTCAGAGTTGCTCAAAGGAACTTTGAGGATAGTGAAAGGTCGGTCAGCAGACTTGGAAAATTTCAAGGCATGAACACACCCAGAGTTCGTTGTTAGATGTTCCGAGCGTCTTACAAGTCTCCAATTGGAATACCCATCACTAGCTACATAAAGCCTCTCCAAAAACAAGCAAAAAACGAAACAAACAATGGACTTTTTAACTATGAGTGCGGACAATAACAAGCGAGAACAGAAGGAACACAATTGCACCAGCAAAAAGAACACTTGCATTAAACCAAAGACCAAAAAACAGGAATCACTTCCTTTGATTTGAACTAAATATCCATATATCTCATTAAAAACTAAATATCCATACATTGGATTAAAAACAACAGCACGACTCAAATGCTCCCCAGTTTCACTGTGACCTAATTCTTCTTATTTCACTTGTACAATTGATTTTCACGTTTGGTGCTTGATGCTTGGTTTGACATTTCTGCACTTCTTGCTCTTGATAAGTTTCAATGGCATCAGTCGCTCCTTAAAATATCCATGTTTGACAGTTATAATTGATTGAAAGTGATATTGGAAAACTTACTACCCAATAGACCAATATTGATCTTGAGTGACAGTCCAAGTGGTTTGAAAAGATTGAGAAAAGATACTATATAAGCGCTGGCGAGTTGTGAGGTATCCCAGTGATGTTGACAAACATGTTTACAATTTATTGATATTGAGAACAGCTGTTATTGGAGAGACGTGTTGTTGGTGTCACCATTGTACTGATGTCAAGGTTCGGATTGATTTAACCTCACAAACATATTCAATGGACGTGAAATGAGCTGAGAGGAGTAGAATCGACAAAGACAACATCACCTAACAAAACAAGAAGATGAAACCCCGCAAACATCAATTATTAGTTGTGGGTGATATCTTTCCAAAGAAAAGAACTACAGGAAAACACTGTAGTAAGTGTAAGTTGGCAAAATCACATGAAAGGCCCGATTAAGGCCTGGTAGATGAGTCTAGCTGAAGGCCACTTGTGATGTTGTGCTGCGACCGGGACACCATGAGTTTAAAAAGGTGAGATATAGTTGATTGATCAATAGATGAAGTCATTGATGTGGTAAATGGTTTGATCGTCTATTTATCATTTCTCTTGCCATCCAAGATCATGGCGTGATCTTGGGCCCGGAACGGTCGATGCCCCGACTGTCTCGGGGCCTTAATGAGGTTTTCAATTTGATTGTAACTTGTAAGTACATATGTAAGTATGAATAACCTTTTTGTGACACTACCTTATGGAATAACCAGCATCAACTCATGTCAAGTACAAGTTGAATATCAAAACAATGCTGAAAATGAATATTTGAATATTTCCAAATGGTTTGAGATTGTTCACTACCTCTGTTCAGGAATTGAAACAATGTAAAAACACATATAAAAACATCAACAAAGAATGATCATCTAGAGATGGATTTTTAGATCAAGAACTGAAGATGAAAGAGTATTCTTAATCAAGTTAATCTGTGTAGAATTGGGCAAACAGGTGAGCCTGAGATGTAATAGTAATACAATGTACGTGCATATCATAATTCATTATCTAACGTACTGTTGGTACCTATTGTTGAGCAATACCACCCTTTCCACTATCAGAACCACTAGGGTCATTCTCTTGACCTGAGAAAGAGGAGTGTTAGCCTTCACAACTTGATACCTCCCCTTCTTGATGTCATGCAGCCAATTTCTTTTGGCCTCATCTGATAGCAACAAAGGCCCTTTGGCAAGCACCAAGATCTTACAGTCTAGCAAAAGAACTACTGCAAGATTTATCTGACCACGGTAAGTTTTTGTGCTGAGGGCCAAGTGTGAATTGGAACATTTTGTCTCCTTGGCCACAACTTTCACCACTTAGGTGAGCAACTATACCATCAAGAGTCAGAGGTTGTGTTAAAAGTTAGCTGTATGAAAAGAAAAACTTTTATAGTAGGGCATATGAGGATGAAAATTTACTCACAATTTAAACCATTGAGAGCATCACTGAGCTCCTTTCTAAACTTCTGCTGAATCAGGGCTGCAGGTGATGGAGTTTTCTTTTGATTTTGTTGGGAACAAACAGAGAGCGGTGCATCTGAATGGAAAAAGCATTCCAATATATTTTGATTCTGCCTTTCATTTAATGACCCCTCTTTGCACAAAGTGTACTTGTCTTCAAACAGTGCACACTCACCCAGATTGTTGGAATTCCAACAGCCAAGCAAGAGGTGAAATTCCAATTTATGCTTCTGATGCACTACTTGAAGCTGAAAAAGTCATTTTGAAAAGTGAACAGTGAAGAGTAAAGTTGATGTCAGTTGTTTCCCACCAAACGCAAGTCAGTAAGAAAAGAGTAAGAAAATCCAACCTGGCAAACTATCTTCTTGATTTCACCTTTCATGACTTCCTCCCAAGTTGATTCATTTCCAGCATGGCAAACAAGATGACCTGAAATCATGTGAGAGCTTTGAAAGATTTACAAGCTCTTTGAAAATTGGCAGGTATTGTTCAATGTTGTCTTGTTTGAGATGTTCTTCTGGTGAAATGGGTGACTGACCTTGAGAATTGGTGCTGGTTGATTTTAATGGAGAAGCAAGAGATTCTTGGGATGCTTGAGCAATCTTTTAAAAGTATTTGGGAGTGAAATCCCTTTGTTGATTGTCATTATATTCTAACCATGTGTTGCCTACTATAACATTGTGATTTTTGAACCTGGTGGATGTTCCTTCTGGTGGCACTAGATATAGTGATTGTGCTTGAGCTACACAGATCCTTGAGGAAAAGAATGGAAAGTTACTAACTGGTTGTCTTAGTAGAAATGTTGCTATAGGTCTGATAATTGGTGTAGCTATTTAGATCAAGGGCTAGGGCTCCCTCCATTCTGAAAGAGATGAGAAATGATTGGGAGGTGATAAAAATTACAACTTGTCAACAAAATCAATTATTAGCTTACAAAATTTAATCTAGAGTATGGCGGCTGCATTTGAAGGCCAGGCTGAGCTTAGTCTCATCAAGATCATATTGAGCTTGGAGTCCGTGAGCCTCAAATAGTCCAACTGATGAAGGGTGATTGTGGGTACGGGGTTGCACCGCAAGCACCTATTCAGCTTTGACCTTCCCACAAATAAGGCCAAGCTCATGATAGGCCTCCGGCGTTGACAGTGTGACACTTGGCCAATGACACTTTCAAGGTGGTGGCCAAGCTTGCATGCTTTGAAGATTACAAGGTTTTTCTGTGTTGATATTGTTGATATCATCTTCACTGTCATCATCAGGTTGAAAATTTGATGATTCTCCATCAGAGTCAATGCTGTCATATCTAGAGGTGTGACAGGTCACTGATTGGTTTTGAGTCATGTTAGAGTAGTGTGTTGTTCCTTGTCCACAGGATGAACTTGTATTGTGTGCTGCTTGGGAATGTGTTTCCGTATTCATGATGCCAAGCTGATTAATTAAAAGCTGTACAGAATGGATTGGTTTTGTGTGTAAAGCAGTGTTCTGTTAGCTAGAAGGTGAGAGGTGAGCATTCAAATTGATTCTAGGAAGATGTGGTGAGAAGAAATATTACACATTTGGTTGTTAAGAATGAAGGAACAGTGATCAGGTGACAAGGTGAGAAGATCAAGAATCTGGTGAGAAGGGTGACATAAGAGGAACTTGGGTGAGAAGGGTGAAAAGATACAGACTTGGGTGAGAAGGGTAAAAAAGATGGTTGGGTGATAAAGAAATAGTTGAGTGAAGAAAAAGAAGGCTGGGTGAAATGTAGGTGAGAAGGGTAAGAGAATGAAAGTTGAGTGAGATTTGGGTGAAAAGGGTAAGAAAATGAAAGCTGGGTGAGAAGGGTGAGAAGTGATTTGTGGATTAGATGTTGGAAGTTGGCGGGTGAGGCTACAATCTTCAGATATATCTATGTATCTGTGTAAATATAAGGGAGGAATACAGACCCTATTGGTTGGGACAAGGTGTCTTCTCTGCAGATAGTATTGGTACAGGAAAGGGTGCACTGGTGTACTCAAGCCCAAGCGTATAAATGTGTTTGTCAAATTAGATCCAACAAAAACAGCAAAAAGCCTGTTTGAATCTAACAATCCCAATCTAATCCACTTGCCATTTACCCTCAATGTGCTACATGCATCACAGAGGAGGGCCCTCCTTACAATCCCAGTGCATCACCAAAGATTGTAGTGATCCCAGAAGCCAATGCCACTAACATCCAATGTTAGAAGATCTGCTTCAAAAATCAACTTTACCTCACACTGGATCTCAACTGAATTGCTGCCATTCACCAGACAAAGCTAATTCACTTTTTAATTCTGAATTCACTAATTTATTTGCAATCCTGT